AACTATATTGTACCACAAATAATATTTAGGAATATTTGGATTTATTGCTATTATGAGATTAAAATTCAGATAAATGATTCAATGGGAAGTGGTCCATGACATCCACCGAAACGTGATCACGATATTTAAGTTATTGAGTAGATTATTTCACTACTAGATTTAGCAAGATTTCGCCATACAAAAATGACACTTGTTAATCTCGTCACCAAGGTGACTAAAGTCTAATCTACTCGAAATAACCCTGTATGATTCTGATTTAGCGCCATCTGTTTGTAACATTTTGTTTTATCAATGCTGGTTCACTACAAAAGTCAAAGTAAACAAATAAATAAAGCAAGGAAGTTTAAAGTTCGGGTGTAACCGAACATTTTATATTCTCGCAACTTGTAAGGATCAAAGCCCGGGAAATTACTTCAGGTGCTGGCAAAATTTTATATCAAAGGAAGTATTGATTCCACCCTTTTTTAACACAAAAACATACTATTATCGCGAGTTTCATTTATTTATTTTATTGTATTATATGAATTTCAATTATATAGCTTACACATTGACCCATATTTTTGGTAAAAAGTCAGCTGGGGTCCACATATTCAGTACCTAGGGGCTCGAACAGTTTTGGTTCAATTTAGACAAATTTTAGTCACAAGGTGGCAGACCTCAAATGCATTATTCACGCAAAGTTTTACCCCGATACAAACATTGTTGCTTGATTTGCATAGTGGAAAGTGAAAAAATCAGTTGGAATTGAAAATGGTGTTATATGGGAAATAGGCGTGGTTGTCCGATTTCGCCTATTTTCGCACTATAATATAGAAATATGAAAATAATGTTGTATACCGAATTTGGTTGAAATCGGTTAAGCAGATCCCAAGATATGGGTTTTCCCCTAAAAGTGGGCGGTGCCACGCCCACTGTCTAATTTTGAACGCGCTTCCTATAAAGTCATCTCATACCATCCCAGAGATAAAATTTAATGTCTCTAACGTGTTCAGTGCTTGATTTATCCACTCTTAAACAATTTAACAATTTAAAACTGCTTTTTAAACAATTTAAAACTGCAGATACCCCTCCCTAATATAATCCCTTACACCAAATAACATAATTGTATCTTATTGTGGAGCTTAGTTATGGCAATTTATTTGTTTTCAATTAATGGGGTTTGTGGGCGTGGCAGTTGTCCGATTACGCTCATCTGCAATACCAACCGTCTTACGGTACCAAGTTTTCTAAAGATATCTCAATTTTAACTCAAGTTAGAGCTTGCACAGACGGACGGACGGACGGACCGACAGTCACCCGGATTTTACCTCGTCTCTTCATCCTGATCATTTATATATACATAACCCTATATCTAACTCGATTAGTTTTAGGTGATACAAACAACCGTTAGGTGAACAAAACTATTATACTCTGTAGCAACAGGTTGCGAGAGTATAAAAAGGAGAGTATTATGGAGTGAGGCTGCCGAAGTCGATCGACTAAAGTTGAGGTGAGAAAAAGTGCCACTGCTTCGAGGACAGACTTGATTAGTGAATAGATTAAATGTAATCTAATCGCTTCAAAATTTTGCTCGTATCAAATTGGGAACGAATATCAACTGATAACTGAGGTCAACAAAATTTTGTTTTTTTTTTTTTTTGAATATGGGATTTACTCAATATATTCTGGTTACATAAGCAATGATATATGGGAAAGGATGATAAAAATCGAAAATATTTTCTTTTTAACAATTATGCCGATGTGACCATATTTGTTTTCGCGCCCATATAATGTCGGTTTTCGCGGGCTGTTGCCGTCAAAAGAGAAGTAGGTGTATGGGAGATAGTGTCGGCTGCGTCGGTCGTTGTGTACGGTAGTATGTATTTGCAACTTGCAGAGAAATCATGTGTTTCACAATTTTTTTCCTGTAACAACCAGTACAAAATGTATTAAAGTATCAATTTATTAAAATGATACAGACAATGTATGATTTATGTAAGAATTTTAAGCCCAGTATACATTACTGGGGACTATCTGTGAGGTTTTATAAGAGAACCTTCTAAATGACATGACAGGAAAAGTAAAATTGTTCATTTTTAAACATTTAGAGTCTATTTAAAATATATATTTTTATACATAAAAGCAAATTCAGAACTTTTTTTATTCTTATTCTTATTTTGAGGTATAAAAGCAACAAATATAGGGTATATACATATACCGTGCGCAAAATCCTGTTGACCGGTGTAATTGATCATTCTTAAATTTGATGAATTTTAATTCATACCAAAGGTATATGTGTATGCATGGGCAGCATTGTCAGCCACCGATTTGAAAATGCTGATTCGTATTGCAAGCAAACATTGGCACGTACTCATTTGGCCATTTGCAAAACACCACACACACTAACTCAAAGCAGGGCAAACACATGAAATGTTGCTACGTAAACGCGCAAAGTAAACAACTTCTTTATCGCCACGAAGCACACCGCAACAGATAATGCGGTCGGCAGACTTTGTGGCAACAAATAATCAGCTCAGCTACTCGTGAACATTTCGAAAAACCAGATGCATGTATGTATGCATGGTAAGTTGAATACAAAGGGGAAGTGAGGAGGAAGCAGAAGTTATATGATGACAAAATTGGATATAATCAGAGAGGCACACACTAAGTATTAAAGTATGTATGTATGAGTGATTCTTCATTAAGTTGGAGTGGTGCGTTGAAGTAAGACTGTTCAAAACTGCTCCTTATTTGAATCGTTTTGCACTACCTCACCCCTCGTTTCATCTAATGTTATATATTTGCCGACGTCAATGCGGACAGGTCTATATATTATATTTGTCATAAATATTTCATATGCACGATCAGCAGAGAACGCCCTTGAAATAATACGTCGAATATGGATTTGGAGAGTCTTATTATCGAAGGTTTTACCTTCATATTCTGAGAGATATGCGTTCTAGAAAACAGATTTTTACATTCTTCGCTAATGTAATCAAATCTCGGTATTGTATAATGATAGCACACGCTATTTGGCTTAGACAAGCATCAAGTGGGAGTATCTTAGAGAACATTTACAAACGACCAACCCTAACACATTTTCAGGGGTTTATGAGGGCATCTTCATCCAAATGTATATATGTACGCATGTGTATTACAAATAAAAGCAGTAACACAAATCGAGGGCCAGACAGATAAACAGCAATTGGCGAATGTGCCATACATTCATGCGCACGCATTCAATCAGTGGGTTAAAGTGGCGGTAAGTGTTGCAATACAAAAACGTTAAATCGACAATGTGGCAAGTTGAAGGTGTACAGTAAACTATTTTATTATTTAACAAGTTAAAATATTAAAATGGTTTATTATACAAATTGAGTTTAATATAATCTGGATAATCAAAATAAAACTATCACTACCGGTGCGATTTAAGACAAGAAAAGTAATTTCAGAACATCCTCACCTTATTGTTCCCAAAAGGAATTTATTATTACAAATATGTACTTTTATATCAAGTGGTCTACACCATTTTTAATTTCTTCTTTAGATAGACCATTTTTTCGTTTGACCGGTATAGTATGATATTATTTGACATAATTTTATTTTATAAACTTTTATACATCAGGATCTGTAAGGCCCGACAAAAGGCGGTAATTGCTTCCGAGTCCGAGGTTGTTAAGTTCGGCAGTGGGACATTTTTGTTACCGAAAATGTAGATGTCAAAATCTGCATTTCTGTAAAATATTCCGCGTTATTCCCGTTCAGGCTGTTATCATAAATAAAAACTGTGTCGTCGTCTAATATGATTGACTATGAATATTTAATTCCTACAAGTCTAGTTGATGGTGAGTGAGATGTAACGAAATTATATGTCAAAGGAGATATTTAACCAAACTGTGACTAAATTCGTTCAGCTTAGGTATTACTTCTACATAATTCAAATAAGAATCCAAAAAAATGGTCGGTTATTTGTTTTCGATTAATGGGGTTTTGTGGGCGTGGCAGTTGTCCGATTACGCTCATCTGCAACACCAACCGTCTTACGGTACCAAGTTTTCTAAAGATATCTCAATTTTAACTCAAGTTAGAGCTTGCACAGACGGACAGACGGACGGACCGACAGTCACCCGGATTTCAAATCGTCTCTTCATCCTGATCATTTATATATGCATAACCCTATATCTAACTCGATTAGTTTTAGGTGATACAAACAACCGTTAGGTGAACAAAACTATTATACTCTGTAGCAACAGGTTGCGAGAGTATAAAAAGGAGAGTATTATGGAGTAGGCTGCCGAAGTCGATCGAATAGATCGTGAGAAATTATTTTTTTGGAGTCGGTTAGTTTTTCGACGGTACGGAACGTAATGACTATATAGCCAACCAGATAAAGAGCGAGCGTAATAAATGATTATATAAAAGAGTTCTGGATAAACTGAAAAAAGCTGTAAATTATTGTAAAAAATGTATGCAATTAGTCGTAAAGTTTCTAATTTATTTTAGAAATATCATACAAATTATAGTTTTTTATTGCTTTAATTTTTTTTACTAAAATTACCACTACACATGGCATAAAATTTTGGCCACTGTAATTCTCCCTTTGTTTGCTGTATTGTGGCACGTGTGAGAAAGAAAGCGCTGATATGAGACGCTATTTAGATTGAAGATCAAAAAGTGTTGATTGAGTAAAAAACGACGGAAATTTGCTTAATTTTGGTAGCTATTACATGAAGTATACATGGTAGTAATCGTTATAGTAAAAATTGGAATCGATAAGTTTCTATAGAACTTAGGGTTATTTCAACTATTAATGAAAAGCTTCAAACTATTATTTTTGTTATTAATAAAGAAGTAAGAGTTCCAAAAATGGATTATTTTCCTCAACAGAGTCTAATTAATTTTTACGGTCTGTTTGGGGGTTGTTATATAAAAGTGTTGTGTTTTAGACGTCTCCGGCAAATATTTGTTATTTAGTTATTTTAAAAGTTAATATAACTGTAGCGTAGTCCTTATATACTTACAATTTACGAGCTGTGTTATTTCGTGAAAAAGTATCACATTCTGAAATTGGCTTCTAGGGTACTTGGAAAAGAATAGTAATTTCATAGATATCTTGACGATATGAGAGGCAAATCAAACAAATTTTGTAATTTCATGGCTCGTGTTACACATGCCACTTAATTCCCTCCCAATCATTCTATTCTTTCAAATTTTGTAGTTGTCATCTGCGGTTGAAGCGGTATTTCGATCCAGTCTTTTAAAAAATTGTAGCTCTTCAAATATATACATATATTTTGTATAAATTTAGAATTTTTTATACTAAAAAATTCTAATGCCATTCGAAATTCGATAGCTGAAATTTGAAATGACTATTGCTTTTTTAGACATGGCATTTTGAATGCTTAACTTCATTTGCTGTTTCATTATATTTTATTAACACAATACATACTTTAACGTATATATTTAACGCATATACATATGCACTTAATAAACATATAACTGCGTACTCCCCTAGTCAAATTAATTAGTTATAAATTATTTTACAACTAGTTTAAACCGCAAGCCCAAGTAGTCAGTAGATTGTCTGTATCAATCTGCCAATTGTAACATTTAGTGCAGAAATAGTTCACATTTCAATTTTAGTCGAAAGTTGGAAGAAAATTCATAAATTTGTAAGAATCAAATAAAACGATTAATAACTTGTTGACCAGTTTTATTCAGAAAATTCTAGGTGTAAACTAGTATATTCTCTGACTAGTTTATTTTTTTACCACAGGTCTCTTTCAGCAAATATTCCTAAGACTGTATATATGGCTAAGTGTAATTGTCAAATAAAAAAAATATTTTTCAGAATGTCGCAAAATAACCAAAGTTTGTGTCACATGCTCCAATTGTGCCACATTCGCTTTATGTATATTTGCCCTTCTCTGTTCCGTTTTTGTTGCCGCATAATTTAACATTCTGATTGTTGTTGGTTGGGTGCCCTTGTCGGCAAAATACGTCAGCTTATCACAATTTGTCCGCTAACATTTCCCACGCAATTTCGTGCAATTTAGCAGACCTTGCACGAATTCGGAGAGCAACAACAGCTATAACAAACACAGCTGAAAATAGCAATAAAATCCTGAGGAGACGCATTGCCTTTAGTGCCATTTTGGCACTGACTATGTCAGTGGTAGTGGCTGTGGGGATGGCGGTGGGAATTGCCGTGATTTCAATTCATCTGCTACGTCGTCTACTTTATTTGCCGCATCAGCAACAAATGTTTCTTCTGCTCTCCCACTATGTTCTCCTGTAATTTGGCCACAGCTTGAGAGGCCAATTTAAGGCCGTCAGCAGGTTGCCATACTGTAAGATTTGGAAAACAAATTATACACTTATAAGTTGATAAGTGCAAGCATATAACCACTATTTCATTGGGCTAAACTTAATGTATTACATCTTGAAGTAGTCCTGAATAAATATATAAAATATGAGTTATTATAACCAAAAGGGATAACTATATTGATCAGAAAATTTGAGGAATGACCATCTAAGCTCTATTTTTAGTTAACATTGTCTACTATTGTCATCCTCCTCACCTAATTACCCTGGCATAGTTAGATATTTTTTTAAAAGTTACCATATTAGTGCATCTATCTCTGTGTAGTTTTTTTAATTTTTATGATGGAATCGAGTTTGATTTAATTTTTTGTTGAAAACGTTAAAAAATGTTACCGTATTGTTTAGGCAGCAATACTCTATCGGAAATGAACGTATATATGAAGCATGACAGTTTTAGAGTCGTGAATTAATAGAGGATAGATCCATTTAAAAAACATTTAAAAAATGTAATAGAAAAACAAGTAAGGAAGGGCTAAGTTCGGATGTAACCGAACATTTTATACTCTCGCAAAGTCAAATAGTATACTCGTTTGAGATTTCTATGTGGATTGACTGATATTTTCGGTAGAAGGTCAACTATAGGCACTGGTGTCCACATATTTAGTACTTAGGGGCTTAAACAGTTTTGGTTCGATTTAGACAATTTTTGGCCACAAGGTGGCATACTTTAATCGCATTATTCACGTAAAGTTTTTTCCCGATACAGTCATTGTTGTCTGATTTGCATAGTGGAAAGTGAAAGAATCAGATGGAATTTAAAATGGTGTTATATGGGAAGTAGGCGTGGTTGTAGTCCGATTTTCACACCATGACATATAAACATGAAAAGAACGTTACGCACCGAATTTGGTTGAAATCGGTTAAGCAGATCTCAAGATATGGGTTTTCACCTAAAAGTGGGCTGTGCCACGCCCACTGTCTAATTTTGAACGCGGTTCCTGTAAAGTCATCTTATACCATCTCAGAGATAAAATTTAATGTCTTTGGCGTGCTTAGACGCTTTTAGTAGTTTTTAACACTACCGTTATATGGGGAGTGGGCGGAGTTGCCACCCGATTTCAACTATTTTCACACCGTCAATAGAAGTGCTAAAAAAATTTGCTTCTAGTGAAGTTTGTTATTATAGCATTAGCGGTTTAGGAGATATGCACATTAAACCTATTAGAGGCGGGACCACGCCCACTTTAAAAAAAAAGTTTTAACTGCAGATGTCCCTCCCTAATGTGATCCTGTGTACCAAATAACAGTCTTGTATATTATTGCGGAGCTTAGTTATGGCAAGTTATTTGTTTTTGATTAATGGCGTTTTGTGGGCGTGGCAGTGGTCCGATTACGCCCATCTGCAATACCAACCGTCTCACGGTACCAGGAAACATGTCTACCAAGTTTTATAAAGATATCTCAATTTTTACTCAAGTTAGAGCTTGCACGGACGGACGGACAGACAGTCACCCGGATTTCAACTCGTCTCTTCATCCTGATCATTTATATATACATAACCCTATATCTAACTCGATTAGTTTTAGGTGATACAAAAACCGTTAGGTGAACAAAACTATTATACTCTGTAGCAACAGGTTGCGAGAGTATAAAAATTATTATAAATAATTAAAATTTACATATATGGATTAATAGGTAAACTTGAATTTTCAATATAGTAGTACCTAGTATATGATGGAGTGATGAGAAGCCAATCTCTTTAAAAGGTTCTTCAATTCTCTTTAAAAGGTTCTTATGGTCTACTTCTACAGTAGGAATCTCCAGAAGAATTAATTATAAGAATTTCCCCTTAGGTGTTGTAGTTTAGGAATAAATTAATTTCTAACGAAATCTGTTATACGCTTTATGATATATATTCTGATAAAATAAATCCAAAATAATCTTTTCTCGCAACATGTAGACATGCAGAGTATAATAGTTTTGTTTACTTACCGGTTGTTTGTATCACCTAAAACGAGATAGACATATACAAGTAGTAAAATGATCAATATTACGAGACGATTTTAACTTAAGTAAAAACTTAGATATCTTGATAAAACTTGGTACACGTGTTTTCTGGCTCCATGAGAAACTTGGCATTGGCATACATACATACTTATGTATCTCCCAAATCACTAAATCTAAATCAACTAAATTTGCACCGGGCAAATTTTTTTTTGTACCTCTTCCGACAGTGTGAAAATGTGTGAAATCGACCACACCCCATATAACAGTTATGTTGAAACTACTAAAAGTGCGATAACTCAATAAATTAACGCGTCAGAGACATTAAATTTAACACCAGAGATGGTGCGAAAGGTAATTCGGTACCTAATGCTACTGTCTAACCATTCCTATATTAGGATGTAAAATTGTCTAAATTGGTCCATAGCCACGAATACATAATATCATATATTTATACTCTCGCAACCTGTTGCTACAGAGTATAATAGTTTTTTTCACCTAACGGTTGTTTGTATCACCTAAAACTAATCGAGTTAGATATAGAGTTATATATATAAATGATCAGGATGAAGAGACGAGTTGAAATCCGGGTGACTGTCTGTCCGTGCAAGCTCTAACTTGAGTAAAAATTGAGATATCTTTATGAAACTTGGTAGACATGTTTCTTGGTACCGTGAGACGGTTGGTATTGCAGATGGGCGTAAACGGACCACTGCCACGCCCACAAAACGCCATTAATCAAAAACAAATAAATTGCCATAACTAAGCTCCGCAATAAGATACAAGACTGTTATTTGGTACACAAGATCACATTAGAGAGGGGCATCTGCAGTTGAATTTTTTTTTTTAAAGTGGGCGTGGTCCCGCCTCTAATAGGTTTAATGTGCATATCTCCTAATGCTAATGCTATAATAACAAAATTCACTGGAAGCAAATTTTTTTAGCACTTCTATTGACGGTGTGAAAATAGTTTAAAAATCGGGTGGCAACTCCGCCCACTCCCCATATAACGGTACTGTTAAAAACTACTAAAAGCGCGATAAATCAAGCACTAAACACGCCAGAGGCATTAAATTTTATCTCTGGGATGGTATGAGATGACTTTATAGGAACCGCGTTCTAAATTAGACAGTGGGCGGGGCACTTTTAGGTGAAAACCCATATCTTGAGATCTGCTTAACCAATTTCAAACAAAATTCGGTACATAACGTTATTTCCATATTACTATATTATAGTGCGAAAATGGGCAAAATCGGATTACAACCACGCCTATTTCCCATATAACACCATTTTCAATTCCATCTGATTCTTTCACTTTCCACTAAGCATATCAAGCAACAATGATTATATCGGGGTAAAACTTTGCGTTAATAATACGTTTAAAGTATGCCACCTTGTGACCAAAAATTGTCTAAATCGAACCAAAACTGTTCAAGCCCCGAAGTACTAAATATGTGGACCCCAGTGCCTATAGTTGACCTTCAACCGAAAATATCAGCCAACCCACAAAGAAATCTCAAACGAGTATACCATTTGACTTTGCGAGAGTATAAAATGTTCGGTTACATCCGAACTTAGCCCTTCCTTACTTGTTTTTAATGCTATTTAAGTATTTCTTTCACTTTACAGCATAGACATCAAGCACTAATGAAAATATTTAGATAAAACTTTGGAAAAATAGTGCCTTTAAGGTATGCCATCTCAAATGTCAGAATCGGAGTCTGCGACCTATATTAAAAGTTAATAACATACCAATTACGATTGTAATTCATTAATAATTTCGTAGAATAGCGAACTCTTTCGCAATGTCTTTATAAAAAAAAAAATATTAAAAATAAAAATTAATTTTGCCAATATCTGAAACTATGCCTCCGGTTTTCCTTTTTGAAAATTGCAAAAATATAAAATGCTCGGTTTCTCTCAATCTGGCAACCATCATCTACTTGCACATTTTGTGCGTCCAACATTCGATACGGCCGACTGTTTACCCTCGGTGTGGTGTCGCTTCTCATTTATTGTTGCG